ATTACGAGGGAACACCATACATCCATAATCTCAAACTTGCCACGCGTATAGAAAGGTCAATCCAAAGGCGCTGATTGGAAGAACACCCTGGGCCTCAGTCAACACATATGCATGCCAGCACAGAAGTCAACCAGTCCAAAGACAAATGGGCCTGAATTACTGGACCTTACCTCCCAATTTGGGGACACACCCCCATGGTTTGCCTTTCTAATTCTTTTTCTCATATATTTCTATTTTTGTTTTAATTAGTTTTTTAATTTAATTCTTTAATTTAATTATTTTCATAAAAATATAAAAATAACAAAAAATCAGAAAAGACAAAAATTAAAAAATATATTTTATTTTAATATTTTGTAAATAAATATTATTCATTAATTTTAGCTATTAAATTAGGTTTAATTCAAGCATTTTCTTAATTAACTTAAAATTTGTAGAATTAGGGTTTTAATCAATTTTTATCCTTTTTCCTTTCTTTTCACTAATAATTAAATATTATTTATTTTTATAAATCAAATGGCATGTAAATAATTAATTTAATTTTAGGTTTAAATGTTAACATGTTTTCTTAACAAATAAAAGTTGTAGAATTAGGGTTAATTAGTTAATTTCTTAATAATTATTTAATTCACATAAAAATTCATAAATCCAAAAATACCAAAATAATTTCTTTTTTATTTTAATTTAATTAATTTAATCATTTAATTTAATTTCATTAAAAAGGGTCCAACGCCCTCGTTTCTAATTTTAATTCCAATTCGCGCATTTTATTTATTTCTTTTCTTTTAATTATTTATGTAATTCTCCCAAAGCCGTGTAACATTTATCTTTCGCACTTTACTTTATTTCTTTATTTATTTTCTGTCAAATCGGGTCCTGGATTTTAATTTGGCGATGTGGACCCGCGCCTTTGTAATAGTTTAAAACTTTTAATTTTCCGCATCTTTTTAACTGTTAATAAATGCATGCAAGAATCAATGACAAAAATAAAAACAAACGCATAGATCACTTTGACATGAACAAGATAAATGCAAATGAACATGACACACAAATCACACACCACCCCTAGGGTACGCCTCACTGTTGCCTTGCCTCGAAAGGTGATCGTCGAGTAGAGGATGTCTTAGTAAGTCCTCATGATCCGGGAACCTGGCATGAGGGTAGCTTCTAAGATGTCTTCCTATTGCTCTGGTGATCACCATGTCCCGAACCTCGAATTGACCCGAACACCTCCAACAGTGGTGCTACCTACCTCTCAATGGTGGGATGGCACTACTTTAAAGGACATTTACACATACGAATTCCTTAGGGTAGGTAGACGACTCTAAATACTTGCTCTAATTTCAAAACAAACCAAAAATACTTTTCACACCGACACCTTTTCAAAAGCTTTCGAAAGCATTTTTTCAAACACTCTTGAGGACCGATACAAGAGTCGAACTGAAATTTTCAAAGAAACTTTTATAACCCACAATTGAAAAGCAAACAAACCATTTTTGAAAACACAAGTGAGCAAGTATCTAAGAGCCCATGGATAACCATGGATAGAAAGGGTGCTAACACCTTCCCTTTCTATAACCTACCTCCCGAACCGAGAGCAATCTCTATAAGGAATTTTTCTGTGCTTTTGTCCTTTCCATTTGGAGAAAATAAAAGACGGTGGCGACTCTTGCTTACCGCGACATTTCACGAACCAGCGTTAAACAGCCAGTTCCAGATCCACCGATCACACTAAGTCTAAGGATGCTCAATCTTTAGATATGTTCAAACCTATTACCCTCTCGAATTTCAAATACAAGATAATTTCTAAAATTGTGGCCGATTGTTTGGCGTCTATTATGCCTTTTCTAGTTTCAAAAGAGCAAAGATGATTTATTCATGGGAGAAATATCTAAGATTGAACCTATCTGGTGTCGAAAGCAATCAACATGCTAGATAACAAGAGCAAACAAAAAAAATATGACTTTGGATGTGGACATTGCCAAGGCTTTCGATACCATTAGCTGAGATTTTTTTTTTTGTAAAAGTTCTCTCCAAATTTGGTTTTAATTAATAATTTTGCAACTCGATTAGCAGTATCTTTCCTCGCCCAACTTATCTACCAACTTCAATGGTATTCAAAATGGTTATTTTAAGTGCAAAAGGGGAGTGAGACAAGGAAATCCCCCCGTCTCCCCATTTTTTTGCTTGGCGGAAGATGTGCTAAGCAGAAGCATCTCCAACTTGGTCTCTATATGAGGTATGGATCTTATAAAGTATTCTAGGAACAATTTTGTTATGTCGCACATTTTTTATGGTGATGACCTTTTGATCTTATGCACAGGGAAGCAGTCGAATATTCAATCCTTAAAGAAGATTTTTCAAGAATACTCAATAAATCTAGGCAGAGCTTCAATTTAGCTAAGTTTGTTATTTATGTTGGTTCTATTAATCATAATCATTTGGATCAAATTATTGCTAGCATCGACTTCAATAAAGGGTCTCTCCCTTTTGTCTACTCAGGCATTCTGATTTTCAAAGGTCTCGTAGAGTATATTCATCTTGCTCCTACAACTGACAGAATCACGAACAAATTATTAACTTGGAAAGGATCGTTGTTGTCTATGGCAGGCAGAATTATTCTTGTGAAATCTATAATTGATAACATGATTGTTTTCACGATCAACATCTACTCGTGCCCGATGGCGTTATTGAGGAAAATTGGCAAAGCTTGCAGAAACTTTATTTGGTCAGGCGATATCAATAAAAGGAAGTTGTTCATGGTTTCTTGGAAAAAATCCTGCCAACCTTTCCGTAATGGTGGTCTCGGGGTTCGCTATTTGGTGAGGCTGAATGAGGCAACAAATCTCAAGTTGTTGTGGAACTTCAGATCCAACTTTGAGCCTTGGGCGATTCTGCTTCATAATACAATTTTTTATCGTAAAGGAGTCATAAAATATCACACCTTTTCCACTGTCTGGACAAGTATCAAATCAGAGCTTCCTATTCTTGAGTAGAATTCCAGCTGGTGTTTAGGCAATGGTTTCCAGATCAAATTCTGGTCCGACTCGTGGTGCGGGCCTCCTCTTATTTATCTAACCTATTGAGACTTTCTCATTTAAAAAGGCACTAATGTTAATGCTTATATTTCTGATTTAATTTTGATGGATCAATGGAATATTCCAGTTGTTTGGCTTTATTGGTTTCCCACCCTGGTGCAAAGGCTTTTTAGTATTCCGCCCGCCTCCTTAAATATTTTGAATAAGTTAGTCTGAAAGCACAATGTGTCGGGTATGCTAACACTTAAAGATGCTTATTCTCTTAAAGAAGGTCTTCTCAATGATTCTCCTCGGGCCATTCACATTTGGAGTAATGCCATTCCTCCTAGTAAATTGATTTTATTATGGAAGCTTGCTCATAATAAGATTCCCTCCGAGCAGTTGGTCATGTCCAAAGGTATTTCTCTAGCCTCACAATGTTGCTTGTGTAAATCTGCCACCGAGAGTACCGATCATTTGTTCTTTCATTGCGCGTTTGTGTCGCATTTATGGAATTGGTTGAGAAGGACTATAGGGATTCAATCGTTTCTAAACTCTTTGGAAGATTGGTTAGAGTTTGGTAACCCGAACTTGCAGAATCAACAAGCTTTGGTGATGAAAGCGACCGTCATTTTTACCATTAACCAAATTTGGTATGCTAGAAATAACTGTAAGCATGAGAACATCTTACCTGGTCTTAGAATCTCTATCAACGAGATTCTTAACCAGACTATGATGACTGGTAACATTGCTCAGAACCATTCCTCCATCTCCATGACTGATTTTTCTCTAATCAAAGCTTTTGGTGTTACCATTCGATCGCCTCGTGCTCCAAATATAACGGAAGTCCTCTGGTCCCCTCCTATCTAAGGATGACTCAAGTGTAATTGTGACGACGCGTTCTGAGCTTCATCCAAAGACAGTGCATGTGGTGCTATCTTTAGAAATTAAAAAGGAGGGATTTTCTTCTATCTTTTGTGAGCAACCTGGTTTCGAACTCATCTTTGTTTGCTGAGTTCTCCGCGATTTTGAGAACTATTGAGATCACCTTGGCTCGTGGTTGGCGTAAGATTTGGATTGAAATAGATTGCTTAATGGTTGTCAAAGCACCCACCAACCGTATTTTGATTCCTCGTAGCTTAAAAAATAGGTGGCTGGAGCTTACGGCCCCCTCTAACTTCACTGGTTTGATCATCTCCCATATTTTAAGGAAGAGAATTCTTGCACCGACTTTTTTTACAAATATAGGTTTAAGTGCAAATTCCACTTTATTTTTTTAACTCTATTCATATTGGAATTATAAGAGATTTTGTAAAGAATAGATTAAATATACCTTTCTTTCGATTTTCAACTTTTTGAAAGGATTAACTTAGGTCTCCTATTTCTTAGTTCTCCTTTTATAACATCTTTTGATTTTACTATATCAGACCTTATTCAACAAAAAAAACCACGTTCATGTATTTTACTAACACATATTAATATTTTAAAGTTATTTATGTAATTATTCATAACAATATAAAATATTAAATATTTTACATTATCATTATCATTATCAATACTCTCTTTTTAATCTTATATTAATACTATATTTAAAATATTTATGTTAAATAAATATTAAAAATAAAATGAAACACGCGTTATTTGTGAATAAAAAAGCACCGCCTTTGAGGAAAAAAAACTCCACGCAGGCAATGGCATAACCACCATAACCATCTTCCCTAACATTAAAATTAACAACTACACACTAATCAGAGATCTCCACGTCATCAAAATCTCCCATATACATCACCAACACACAAATATAAATCGCCGAACGAGGGCAATCCCGGAATTACCGAAAATCCCCAGGCAATCTCCGATCACCCTCTCATCTCGCATCATTTTCTCAAATCTCTCTCTTTTCCTTTTTTAAAAAAAAAATCTTTTTGTTACCCTCCACCGACTCGGCCCGCTCTGACTCACCCGCGGACTCGGTCCCCGGTCGTGATGGAGATCGCTAACGAACCACCGCCTTCCCTCGACGGAAGCCCTACCGCCGCCAATACGCTCGCGAACTCTCCGTCAGCCTCTTCCACGTCCTCTTCCTCTTCGTCTCCACGCGGCTCCAAGGGAAAGGAGATCGAAGCCACCACATCGACGGCGCCGCCACCTGCTAGGTACGACGATGATGACGAAGATGAAGAGGATGTTTGCCGGATTTGCCGGAACCCTGGGGAAACCGACAATCCTCTCCGGTATCCTTGCGCGTGTAGTGGTAGCATCAAGTTTGTGCATCAAGATTGTCTTCTTCAGTGGCTTAATCACAGCAACGCTCGCCAATGCGAGGTTTTACCATTTCTTTTCGTAATTGTTCATGTTCTTAGAACTCATAGAAAATTCAGCATAGATTAGCATGTTTATTTAGTTGAATTTAGTCTCTAGTATCTTATCTTTGATACTTAACATGTGCTGCAGGTCTGCAAGCATCCATTCTCCTTCTCACCTGTGTATGCAGAGAATGCTCCTGCTAGGCTGCCTTTTCAAGAATTTGTGGTTGGAATGGGGATGAAAGCTTGTCATGTCTTGCAATTCTTTGTGCGTCTGAGTTTTGTGCTATCTGTGTGGCTCTTAATTATACCTTTCATAACATTCTGGATATGGCGGTTAGCTTTTGTGAGGAGTTTTGGTGAAGCCCAGAGGTTATTCTTAAGCCATTTATCGACAGCAGTTATTCTGACTGATTGCCTCCATGGTTTCCTGCTTTCTGCAAGCATTGTCTTCATTTTTCTCGGGGCCACTTCTTTGAGAGATTACTTTAGGCATTTGCGAGAAATTGGGGGACAGGATGCTGATAGAGATGATGAAGTTGACAGAAATGGTGCTCGAGTTGCTAGAAGGCCTCCCGGGCAAGCTAACCGTAATGTTAATGGTGATGCAAATGGAGAAGATGCTGGTGGAGCACAGGGAGTAGCAGGAGCAGGTCAAGTAATTAGAAGAAATGCTGAAAATGTTGCCGCACGATGGGAGATGCAAGCAGCACGGCTTGAGGCTCATGTTGAACAGATGTTTGATGGTCTGGATGATGCTGATGGAGCAGAGGATGTTCCCTTTGATGAACTTGTTGGCATGCAGGGTCCTGTTTTTCATTTGGTTGAAAATGCATTTACTGTAAGTCTATTAAAAATTACAATGTTTGGTACTCATTTATCACAATGTTGTGGTCTTGATACTATTGTTTCTCTATATAGAAAATGGGTAATCTTCCCTGGGTAAAATCTAACTCATAGTTACTCATAGAAGATCGGCAATCTTCATTGAGTTATTTTTCAATGCCATTTAATCCTGCCCCCTTTTAAACACATGATTTTATTTGTTGTTATTTACACCCTCTTGTGTTTAGAACTCAACATATTTTCCCTGTTTGGATGTTGAAGGAACTTTTAACACCCAACTTCATTAGGGGCTTGTAGTTGCATAAACCTCAATCTTCTGTTTGCTGAAATTGATTGTGGCAGAGTTTTTATTGTTGCAACAAGATTAGTTCACTTTTCTAATTATATGTCCTAGTTAATTGGTCATTCTGTTGATGCAATTGCTTGTTTTGTAAATTTTCAAATCATCAACTGAAGCAAAAATTCTATGGGTGATCATTTTCCAATTTTATCCATTTTGATACAACAATCTCTTTGTTTTGTACATTGTGATTTCTTCTGGATTAGCTTTATTTGAAAAACCTGAATGTTATTTTTCCTCCTATGAAATAACTCTTCCATTTACATTTATTATTTGTGAACTGAATGCTATGCACATTATGCAGGTGCTGGCAAGCAACATGATTTTCCTTGGTGTTGTAATCTTTGTGCCCTTCTCATTAGGCCGCATCATTCTTCATTATCTATCATGGTTCTTTTCAACTGGTACTGTCCCTGTGTTATCAGTGGTGGTCCCATCTACAGACACTTCTCTTTCCCTAGCAAATATTACATTAAAAAATGCATTAACAGCTGTTAAAAATGTATCATCTGATACTCAAGAAAGTGGGTCAATTGGTCAGATTGCAGAAATGCTAAAAGTGAATGCAAGTGAATTGAGTGAAATGTCAAACAATATAAGTGCATCTGTTTCAGCTGATATCTTAAAAGGAGGGTCGGTAGGAACTTCCAGGATATCTGATGTTACTACTCTGGCTATTGGATATATTTTCATATTGACTCTAATTTTCTGCTACTTTGGCATTGTTGCCTTAATTCGTTACACAAAGGGCGAGCCTTTGACGGCAGGAAGATTTTATGGCATTGCTTCTATAGCAGAGACAATTCCATCTCTTTTCAGGCAGTTTTTGGCAGCAATGAGGCATTTGATGACCATGGTAAAGGTTGCTTTCTTATTAGTTATTGAACTAGGGGTGTTTCCCCTGATGTGTGGGTGGTGGCTCGATGTTTGTACGATACAGATGTTTGGGAAAACAATGGCTCACAGAGCTCAGTTCTTCGCTGCCTCTCCTTTAGCAAGCTCATTGATGCATTGGGTTGTAGGGATTGTATACATGCTACAAATTAGCATATTTGTCAGCCTTCTTAGAGGGGTAATTTCTTGTCACATGATATAATGCTTTAAAGCTTTGATTATCTTTTTTATGCACTGTTTCATATGATGAATTTGTTTTTAACGGCAGGTTTTGCGGAATGGGGTTTTGTACTTCCTTCGAGATCCCGCTGATCCAAACTATAATCCATTCCGTGATCTGATAGACGATCCTGTGCACAAACATGCTCGCAGGGTTTTGTTATCTGTTGCAGTTTATGGGAGTTTGATTGTGATGCTGGTATTTTTGCCAGTTAAACTTTCAATGAGGATGGCACCTTTCATTTTTCCACTTGAAATATCGTAAGCTGGCTCCTTAGGCAATTTTAGCAGTTGACAAAATTTACAAAGTTTTCTGTTACAGTTGTTAAACTTGAGTATGCTATTTTTGCAGGCTATCTGATCCCTTCACCGAAATTCCAGCTAACATGCTTCTCTTTCAGATCTGTATACCATTTGCTGTTGAGCATTTTAAGTTGAGGACAACTATTAAATCCCTACTTCGCTATTGGTTTACGGCAGTTGGTTGGGCACTTGGTTTAACAGATTTCTTACTGCCTAGACCCGATGATGATGGTAATCAAGAAAATGGAAATGGGGAGCGAGGTAGGCAGGAAAGGTTACAGATAGTACAAGCAGGGATACACGATCAGGGTATGATGCCATTTGCAGGTGATGATTTGAACAGAGTCACTAATGCAGATGCTGGAGAGGATTATGAAAATGATGAACAATCTGATTCTGAGTGAGTTCCTTACAAATCAAAACCCTACAACTATGATTATGAATCATCCAATATTGCATTTGTGTCTATCTATTTAATTATGTACATTTTGTCTTTGGGGGTGGAAGTAGAAGGCAGGACGGGGTATTTTTTTCCCACGGTTTTTGCCTTTGCTTAATGTAATGCATGGAATTCTACCGGAGCCATTAGGTTTTTTTTTTTTTTTTTGTATTAACATGTGTTTGCATTACTCTGCCATCATCTGATTAGATATTTGCTATAACTGTAGCAGTTACGCCTTTGTGCTTCGCATTGTTCTTTTACTTGTCATTGCTTGGATGACTCTCCTTGTCTTCAACTCTTCCCTGGTAGTTGTACCAATATCACTGGGAAGGGTGCTTTTCAATTCCATTCCTCGTCTTCCTATAACTCATGGCATTAAGTGCAATGGTAAGCAATTGATTGAACTGATATCTTTTGCTATGTGCTTCATAACTCTGAAAATATTTGTGATCTTATTTCCTTTGATAGATCTGTATGCCTTCATCATTGGAAGTTATGTGATCTGGACTGCTGTTGCTGGAGTTAGATACTCAATCGAGCAAGTTAGAAAAAGGAGGACTTCCGTTTTGTTGAACCAAATATGGAAGTGGTGTAGCATTGTTATGAAGAGTTCTGCACTTTTGTCTATATGGGTAATAATGACTCTTACTACTGATGATCATGTTACTGAACCTAATTTTTTATAACGCATAAATTTTCATTTTTATGATCAAATCCTTTTTCCCGGTTTCAGATATTTGTCATCCCAGTTCTTATTGGGCTTCTTTTTGAGCTTTTGGTCATTGTGCCAATGAGAGTTCCAGTGGATGAAAGTCCAGTATTCCTCCTTTATCAAGACTGGGCATTAGGCCTTATATTTCTCAAGATATGGACTAGATTGGTGAGTTTATTTTCTTCATTATCAGCATTTCCCTTGTTAATCTTCTGTTGGTTGACTTTAATTCATGCATATATCAACTTTTTTAAATGCTTCATGAATAAATACATTAAATTAATGAGCGTTATGATGTTGCCGATCACCATTTTGCTTAGATTATATGATCTTCTGCTGTACTCAAGTAATAACCAGAATATATTGATACAACAAATTCCTGTAGTGAAGAAAATTTCTTGAATTCTTTCGTCTTTAATACGAGCTTGAGACTAATTATGTTAAGGTTGACATCAAAAGAAAGTGTCAAAATGTTTTCTCATCTAACTAATAATTGGAATATTATAACGCTTGTTTTTTTTTTCAAACTCTATCCCTCATTTGTCAACTTCCTTTGTTTTATGTGTCAATGGTTATTCATAAATGTGTTATGTTATCTGTCTCCGCAAGGTTTGGTATAGTAGCAATCAACTGTGTTCACTTATGTTTTTCTTGTATTGACTTGGTTCATTGATTAGGTTATGTTGGACCACATGATGCCTCTAATGGATGAAAGTTGGCGGGTAAAATTTGAGAGGGTGAGAGATGATGGTTTCTCTAGGCTTCAAGGCCTTTGGGTCCTACGAGAGATTGTACTGCCTATCATAATGAAACTATTGACAGCATTATGTGTACCTTATGTTTTGGCCAGAGGTATGTTTCCAGTACTCGGGTACCCATTAGTGGTCAATTCTGCTGTCTACCGGTTTGCATGGTTGGGATGCCTCTCTTTCAGTTTCTTGTGCTTTTGCGCCAAGAGATTTCACGTCTGGTTCACAAATCTCCACAATTCAATACGCGATGACCGATATCTTATTGGCCGGAGGTTGCATAACTTCGGGGAACATGTTGAGAAGGCAAATGAAGCAGAAGATTCTACAGTTGTGCAGGATACTATTTTACTGGGTACAAATGTAAATCAACAAGATCAAGATGCAGATGTTGGACTACGGTTGAGGCACATAAATCAACAGGCAGGCTGAGTGAATTATATTTCAGGTAGGAAGGGAAGAAATTCTAGGATATGTTAAGTCTCGGGCTGGCATGGTTATATGAATGTATACAATACTCTATACACATGTGTTTGTTGATGGATAGTATTAACACTTCTTGTCATGACAACGGTACTTAAGTCGAGATAAACAGTTTGTGCATCTTAAATAATTTAGCTAGTAGTAGGATAATAAAAATGTGTAGTTTTTTTTTGGAACCGAAACAGAATAATGCATGCTAGATAGATGGCAAGATAATTAAATAGAAATTTGATGTCGTTAATTTACTATTTCCTGCGCATACTTTAAGTGTATTAGAGCATTTTAAGTGCTCATGTTAAGAACCAAATTTGTGTTCTTGTTTTTTTTTTTGGGGACTATAATGTCGTATGAAATTTTGGAATACTGACTCATTTTATTCGGCTTAATTAGACCGTGGCACTGATAATTAATTTTTAATTTATGTTGGTTTATTATTCAATAAATTTTGCTATTAATTCTCTCAAATACATAATTACATATCTGTTGATCAATGTGGTTGTTTCTATTATTTTTGACAAAAAGTGTTCAGTTTGCTGACTTGGGCATTACAGAGCTATGCTATGGAACTAAAATTGGTGGTGAATCATTGAGGTGGATTTTTGATGGAGTGGTGCAAATCTCTGATGCATTATTGAGGAGTGGATCTAAGTTAATACTCTAAAGCCCAAATAAGTGAGTGAACAAAAGGAGGTAGAATGAATCATAATTAAAATCATATCACAGTGATTTATATATGATGAATATTAATTGAGCTTTTATCGTATCGAGCCTGTGACCGGTTCAAAACAATTGCTTTAAAGGTTTGTAGGGGAGAAGCTAATTTGCCACTCTTTTATTTTTATTTATACCTGACACCCCCACCAAATTGTATATTTTTATCATTATATTTTTGTTTAAAATTATCAAATTTCAAAAAGTATAAGTTTTTACCCCAAATTTCAAAACTAACTGGAAATTTTGAGTAAATGCTGGAAATTTTCAATTTTATAATAAAAAATCATAATTTTCATGAGTTTTTATTGAAAAATTTAAAACTATTTTGAAATTTTGTAAAAAATACCGAAAATTTTAAAATTTCAGATAAAAACTCATGAAATGTTTTACAAACAATTTTAAAATGTGCGTTTTTTTCGTAAATTTTGAAATTTTTGATGACACTCTTGTATTTTTCATCAAAAATTTTGTAATACATGTTTCTGGAAATTTTCAATGAACTATTAGAAATTTTGAATGAATTATCGAAAATTTCGTTCGGTCATTTTGTTCTTTTTTTTGTTGAAGATGTCTTTGGCATTATGAAAATATTAGGGGTGTTAGGTTTAAATTTTGGGGTGGCAGGTTAAGTTTTCGCTTGTAGTGGCATGACATATGGGAAGCCTTTCAAAAAACTGGGTCGGATTCTCTATGTCGTGATTTTATTTGGAGAAGAAGATGAGATATACAAAATAAACATATTAAGTGCTAGTCTCATCATTGAGATGTTTCGAAGAATTTTTTTTTATACGTGACCTTAGGTTCGTAGGCTAGGGCATGACGTTTCTTCTTAGGATCACGGGTGCACTCAAGTGTTGTCGTATTTTTAAGGCAAGATTTGATTGTTGTTTTTCATCTTTTTCATTTTTTTCTCATTCAGATCAATGATTTATTTATTTTGCTCTACTATATAAAGGTTATTTAGATTTTTCAAACTATTTAACTGAGACTTACCTTTCTTCTCACAAACTATTTTATCATTTTCTGAGCTTTAATGGCCTTTGATTTTGCCACCTTCTCTTTCTATTTGGACTCCGCATTTTCTGATCTGCCATCACCTATGAGTTTCATTTGTCTTCAATCATTTCTTTGCTTCCCCTCTTTATTCATGTGCCATTTATAGCCTTTTTTCTTATATTTTAATGCTTTATTTTCTTGTCTTTTCCATGACCAATATAGAGAATATACCTACAAACATGATAAATAACCCTGATGGTGGGAATCTTTGTTATATACAATATTTAAAAACCCAGATATTTCCAATGTTGGCCCTTTAGAGATTAATCAACCCAACTTCAATCTTATCGTGCTTAGCGGTAATTATAGGCTCGAAGACGGTTTTGTAGAGAATGTCGATGAACCCTTTAGTGTCTCTACTGAAGAGAGTACTAATGAATATTTTAAAGAAGATGAAGAGATGAACTTTAGTAACCTTAACACGAGAGATGTGGTTTTCCGTCTTTCCTTTTTTATTAGGGCTGATACAGATCTAGATATTGTTATAACAACATAGAATGAATGGTGAACTCGCTATTTTACTAGAACTTTTAGGGCGGCGAATGACTGAGACCTTAGCGATATGAAATTTAGGGGCAACATTAATTTTTGGAGCCAATCTGTAATTTTTGATCGGCATTGTCTTTTTTCATGATAGTTAGGCAGACATGGCTTGATTAGAGCATGATGGTTTGGTGGAGCCGATTGATGTTGGTCAGTACTGCTGGGTGGATCACGAACTATTGGTGACATTTTCCTTCCACAACGCAACTGGTATATAGGATGCTCGCGTAGAAGTGGGTTCATCCTCTGACTAATTGGTTTTCCATGCCGACTCTAACAAGAGGTGCAATTTCTTTGATGGGTGTTTCATCCCTTTTATGGATGCTTTTTTTTGGGTTAAAATTTAGGTCTCCCTTCAACAGGTTTGACGAGGGGGTACTAAGGCACTTAAGGATTGTCTCTTCTCAGCTACACCTGTTAGCCCAAACTTTTGTTAAAATGTTTCAGCACTGGTTGTATACCAAGATAAAAAGTTGTCTCTGAATCTCTTCTTTAATATCTTAAACTTGACGCACATTTCCAAGGATAATTTTTGGGATAAGGATTGATCTCGCTACGTCAAGCATATAAAGTCTTTGACATCTATATTGAAAGTTAAACACATTTCAAAGATCATTTTCTTTTGGTGACTCGATGGACTCTAGAGGCTCATTATGTATTCTATAGGATCCCTAAGGGAGAACCTTCCCTAACTAGCCCTTTTTTCCTTGGAGAAGGCTAAATGTAAGGATATGATACATAAATGTTAGGCCTAGGTCCACTTCAATCGGGTTTTACACACATATGTCATCTCTTCTCACTCTCTAATTAAAAAGAAAGTGTCGATAAAAGAGGATTTGACTGCCTTGTGGGAACACTTATGTTAGGAAGGAGTTGTCCCTTTAGATGTAGGGCCTGTCATGTAGAAGAAATAATTCATTAATATCTGAGTGGTAGTGGACACGATCGATGCTAAGGAAGATGAAAGAAATCTTTGGTGAAAAGGGGGAATTTATCTTTTATACTTGTCTTTGACATTCATTTAATGTTTTCTAACCTTCTTATTTATTTTCTACAGATAATATGACATCCATCAAGAGTCTATTTAAGAGAAAGAAATCCATACTGAAAACAAACATGCTTCAAACTCCTTTTCCCACTCCAAATCCAAGTCAAGCAGAAGTGAAAATGGAACAACTTCATATAGACACTAAGGCTTAGCCCAGTTCCTAGACCTAGCATGTTCACCTTGAGTAGGACAAAATATAGAGCAAAAATTCCAATGAACGTTCTGCTTCAACAGTTGGGTGTAACGAGAAACAGGGCTAGGACAAGGATCGTGTCGAGGAAGAAGGCCTAAAAGAAATCTAATCTTCCTGGTTATGGTGCGGAAGAGATCTTCCTCACTGTCACTGAAATTGCTCCTCCTAAGTTTTCTTCCGCTCTCTCCTCCTAAGAACCACACACTTCATAAAAAGCACAAACATGCATCTCTAAACAAGACCGCTTATATTTAAAGCCTCTCTAACATAAGTAAGTTGGAGTTGATGGTCATACGACCTTTCATATGTTTTGTGGTTTTTCTTTAATAACTTTTTCAGTTGTTGGCCATGGAAAATCACTTTTCCTAAGTAATCCTTCTAAAGAGAAAGAGCAATGGAAGGGAAAGTACGACGTCGTCACTAACAAACATAATCAACTTCAAGAAAAATGTCTGAGCTTAAGAAGGAAGTGGAAAGGTTGTAGTTGCACATCTATAGGGGGAGTTGGTTTCATGTCCTTATCATATGCAGGGGAGCATCCTCGATAAAATTATTTTTTTGTTTGTCTTATCGCTTTCGTTAGTTATATTTTGTTGAGTCTCCCTCTTAAATTTCACATTGTGAATCAAGTTTTAAATCGTTTCGTAAATTTTTTTAGCATTCATAAATCATTGGCTATATTCAAACTTGGTCATGAGGTTCTTAGTCATTTGCATGAATCGGTGGAATAAGAATATTATATGCTTTTGATTTGAAGAAAGGCTTTTGAAAACTTGAAAAATTGGGATTTTACATGTTTAATTTGAATCATGAGAATCAAACATACTTTTTGATTCGAATCACATTGGACATAAACTTTCCATAAACTTTTTAACTGCTTGATTCAAATAAAATTTTTAACAAGATTCGAATTACACTCTTCCTGTGACCTTCTGCTTAGTTTGATTCGAATCAAACTTTCAACATAATTTGAATTAGTCACTTTTCATGTATTTTTCAGGATTCTCTATTTTCTTTGATTCCAATCAAATTTTGAACATTAATTCGAATCACGGGGTTCATGATTCGAATCACACTTTGTGGTTGATTCAAATCAACTAAAAATGAGTTAAAAATATGATTTTCATTTATTCCATTTCACTTACTCATTTGACTCAAAAAATCAAACTTTTTTTGATTAGAATGTAACTAACATTTTTGTGTCCTTTTGACTTAATCTCAAGCACATATAAAACTTTGTCGACACTTTTTCGTATGCGGAATTTCATAATTATTTTATGATCTTCTGTGAAAACTCAACTACCTTTTTTTTGAAACCCTTGCATTAGAAATTCTTTCATCTTCAACCTTAGTTTCAATTTCATATCTTGATCACGAGTGATTGATAATTTATTG